GGGGGGGGGTGAGAGGAGGAAAACATGGAGTAAGTAGGTCATTACGGGAGGACCTTATCTCTGGTAGAGTGAGTGACTCCCTAGGTCAACAGTAGTAGACCAGTGATGTATACTAGCTGTCAGTGGGGGCTACTGTATGTGGTTACAATGTCTGATAACATTCAACCTGTCGATACACTTTCCCTTACTCTATAAGTACCTTACCCCACCATCACACACCTTTTTACATTAATGTAGTCTCAAATTGTCACATTGTAGTGACGTAGACTAAGGCATTAGCTGTTAAAATGTTTTTCCATCTTAATGTGGTAAAAGACATTATATGCCCCTTGTAAAAACACTTTAAGATCTTTGATGAGTTAACCTCTGTACAAAGAATATATCTACTCTACAAATAAATTTTATCTTTCACAAAATTAATTTTAGCGACAAAAACATCCTGTTGTGTTCCCTGTATACTACATGTTAACGTAGAAAGGCAGTTTGTGAACCATTCACCTTACAAATACAGTTTCTTTCATATTTACGTAAGCTTTCATCACTGTCTCAGCCCATGGTGGAGACTGGCCTTGTCACTAGGACATTGAAATATTTATCACAATATAAACTCTTATAATTTTGATCATTTATACGCCTAATTCTAGTCTCAATTAGGGGGAGATAAGCTAGTAGTAAAATGCAGCGTGGAAATTCTGATAAATTATTTTGATTCCAAATATGATGATTTCATCAACATTTGTGGTTTTCATAATAGGAGAGTGTACAAAATGAGCGAGGGTGGCAGAAAGCATGGAAACAAGCATTTTGATGTACAATGAAATTAGCAATATTGCCAACCTCTTACTATTTTTATGTTCCAATGATCGTCTGGGTAAACATTGTTGAGGTGTTTAATTACCAAGATGTTCATTAGAACAAATACAGTATGGTGTCCTCTGGTCCACAAATCCCATTACTGTGTATACAGAGAAGAGAAAGGCCTTGTGTTGTTGTACTTTACAGATGTGTAATTAAAAGTTTGAATGATGTTGCCATTAAGTAGTTCAATATAAGAAGACTTTTAGCACACATAACGTCTTTCACATGACTGAACATGTATGTCGGACTATAGTCCAAGTTTGAAAACTTTTGATCCAAGTTTCAAATAAGTGCTGTGGCCGACACTCTTTGTACAAACCGTCCGTATTGGAGGTACAAAATATGTTTTAGTTAGGCTCACCTTGCGTTTTTTTGTCCTAGTCTCTATATTAAACATGTGCTAGATGTAGTAACCCCTTGAGGTTGTAGGTAACACGTGTTGTAGGTAAGTGTTGTTATTTAACTTGGTGAACTGTTTTAAATTTTCTTTATGAAGGGATAAGTTTTCTTTAAACACTTTTTATAAATTAAATGGTAAATTGTCGTAGATCAAGCCCCATTAAATCCCATTGCCATTCTAATAAAAAGGTTCCTATTTGTTCAGCCCCTATTTGTTCAGCCCCTATTTGTACAGCTCCTATTTGTTCAGCCCCCCTATTTGTTCAGCCCCTATTTGTTCAGCCCCCCCTATTTGTTCATCCCTATTTGTACAGCCCCTATTTGTTC